TTTTCTGAAGCTATGTCACGCTACCTCATTTCTACCATGTTCCAAAATGCATTGTTGTTCTGTATATTCTGTATATTGAATATATACTGTATATTCAATATAATAGATAAATTCCATTGTTTTGGTAGCATGTTGGTTGGTCCAAAGGTTTATCCTTGGATAGGCTGATTCCTCAGCCCTCCTCTTGATGAACTGTCACCCTTTAATTTTGTTTCCTTCACTTGGTTTAATCTCTTAACTTTGCTAGCTACCTTGCTTGCGTTTGGAAGCAGATATGGCCGTAGGGTGTGCATATGTGTGTGTGTGTGAAAGAGAGGAAGGGGGAATAAATTAGTAATTTCTTAACATCTAGTTGGAGCCTGTTGCTGTAAATCCTGCAGCAACATTTTCTGTCATGCTCCATGGGATCAACGTCCCTGATTTACTGCAGTCACAGCTGCAATTCATCTTTCTAGAAACTCTTGACTGAGCATAAACTTTTCTGTCTGCAAATTACAAATCTTAATTTATTTGTACAAGCATACTCTTTGCTCTAGAGAAAACCAACAGTACGCTGTTCAAAATGCTGTTCATTCTAACACTAGAATCTAGAAAACCTCATAAGGTCTAGATAACAGAGGTAAAGCTGTATTTCCTTAAATATATTTTATTATGCTTTCAATTGAGCTTCAGTATTTTTCTTTCTGGTATCTTCTTATTAAATACTTTTTCTTTTCTTCATGTTTGGGCCCTGAGACTCTGTGTGTATATAATACATTACTGGACATACACACACATACACACACACAAATTTATGCCCAGTACAATAAAACTGGTGAACTTGTTGACTATTTTTATCTCGCCTTTATTATTTTTATAAATAACTCAAGGTGGCGAACATACCTAATACTCCTTCCTCTTCCTATTTTCACCACAACAACCCTGTGAGGTGGGTTGGGCTGAGAGAGAGGGACTGGCCCAAAGTCGCCCAGCCAGCTTTCGTGCCTATGGCGGGACTAGAACTCAGCATCTCCTGCTTTCTAGCCTGCAGCCTTAACCACTAGACCAAACTGGATAGCAATTGTTAAGGTATTAATTAATTAAAGAGTTTTAATCATGCAGTACTTTTTTTTCCAAATCTGCTATGAAAACTGCAGAGACATCTTAGAAGGAATGTCCTGTGCTTTATTCTCCTGCAAAATGGAAATTGAGAAGCTGGAAAGGAGCACAACACAGGAACAAAGCTGAGGACAGTGTGGGAGACCTAGATTAAAATCCTTTTTCAACTGCAGGGTTTATTGGATGATTTTAAACAATTCATCCAAACAACCTCACAGTGTTCCAGGTAGTCCCTGGGTTAAGAACGCCCGGTTTACGGATGACCCATAGTTAAGATCGGAGCCTATTGTAGCAAAACGTGAGTTAGATACACAATGATTCGAGTTAAATTCACAACGGTTTGAGTTCCTTACACAATAATACAGTATTATACAATCATACTGTTCCGGCTTACATACAAGTTCGACTTAAGGACAGATCTTGGGAATGAAACTCTTAAACTGGGGACTACCTGTTTTGTAAAAATAAAAGGGGGAGCTAATTAACTTAAATCCAGATCTAACCAGATTTTTGTTCGTTTGTTTTCCCCCTCTTGACCAGGACACAAAGAAAGTCCCATAAAGTAACCCAAGCTACTGGTTCATCTAGATCAGCATGTTTTTCTCTTCTTCATCCCGATGCTCATTAGGTCTGAAGGACTCTTACTCTCATAGAAACATCTGGAGGGCATCAGGCAAGCTAATGGTATTAGCGACTCTCTAGGGTCCCCAGGTGACATTTTCCCCATCACTTGCTGAGCTCTTCTAATTGGAAATGTCAGGGACAGAACCCAGGACCTTCTACAGCCAAAAAGCCTGCCCTATCATTGTGTTATGGCCTCTTTCCCAGCAGTGAAACTGAATAACACCCACTTGAAGGAGATCTTCTTCCAGCAATCCCTCTGTTCCTTTTCATTCCCTTTTCCATTCTCCTTGACCAAGTGCTTCCTCATCAACTGGATGTGGCTGGTATCTAGAAAGGCTTCAAGATTGCGACTTGCTTAACACGATGCCAACAGGCTGCCAGCTGCTCATTAAATAAATGTTTTCTTCCCCTTCACTCCTGGCACATCCAGCAGAGCGGAGTCAAGCGAGGCTAAGGGGATTAGAAGCAGGAACTGAACAGGAGGGGCCAAGCTGTACAAATTAAGGATAGAAGTGGACAAAACTATGAGATAGTTGGTAATGGGCATATCCTCCCCATATAATCCTCAAGATATTTTGGACCACAGCTCTCACAGTCTTTTGACCCAGGTGGGCTGGTTAGTGGTGATGAGAGCTGATGTTCCCAAAATCTGGAGGACACCTACTTCCCAGATCTACCCTCTACTGAAACCAAACCCCCAAACCCTTGGTAGACAATATATTGTTGCTGCATTTTTACCCATTCTGTTTGTTGGGCATATAGTCCCATTCCTTCTCCACTGCTCCGATGAAATATCGTCTGGTGATGCCGATGCTTTCCTGAAAGACGCAGCCCAATAAGATAAGTCCGTGTGACAGCAACCTCCACATGGTCTACCAGCATGTGCCAAAGGGCTCCAATTCAGAGAGAAGTCCAGGAGGAGAAGGAGACAATAGCCTGACCTATTCAGCAAGCTCCATCCTCAGGTATTGTGAAACCCCAGTGAGTTTTTGACCCGCCACTAGATAGAGAAACATGGTCACACACTATCAGTGTGCTGGAAGTTATAAGTGAACAGCAGGGTGGGGAGTAACAGGATGGGAGAGGGGAAAAGGAAAAGCAGCTGAGGAAAGTTTAACCTCTTATTCACTGCAGGCTTCCAACTCTAGAAGTATCTTAAGATAAAGCTCTTTTGGGAGCAGGTTAGGAATTCTCTTGTCCCATTTCCAGTGATAACCAGTCCAATGAGCTCTGGAAGTTCACAAGGGGGTTGTCCGTTCTGGTTTTCTCTTTGCGTCTGATATTTAGAGAATACTCCATTTCAAGATATAGACGTTAAATTGATGTTTCATATTTTAGTTACTCCCTTCTGAAAAATGAGCATCAGGGCTAGATAAAACAGTTTTCTAAAGTTTTGGTATTATGGGACTTAATCATGCTGTAAAATGAAGAGCGGGCAAAAATGTTGGGTTGTGTCTGTGTAGGTTGCTTTGTTCCACGCTCCTGTTCTTTGAACGATGAGCAAACGGTACTTTTTAATTATATCAAAATTGATCATCTACTTTTCTATTAAAATAACATGGTACTTATGATTAAATATATTTTCAGTAGTGGTGAGGTGACAAGACAAGCTAACACAGAATCAGGTCTGCAGACATAGGCCATACACAAATCATAGACTCCAGCTTTATCATCACAGAATAGGTCTTCTGAGTCCAGAGGAGGGTAAATGGACTGTGCCAACCTTCATAAGGACCACCTTAGTGAATCACAGAACTGGAATAGATCTTGGAGATCATTTAATTGACTCCAATGCTCAGGGTGGGATCCATAATATCAGAAGAAGATACAAGAATCCTCAGTGCTGCGTAGACAATTCCTTCTTCCGTGCAAAGCTTCCCCTTCATTCAGCACTGAAGCTAGAGATTGTTTCATGTATCTCTACTCTCTTAAATGTACTAGTTGTCTGTCTTGGTAGGGGTGCCTAGATTGAGCAATGTTCTTCTCAAAGACATTCAGAGGAACTGAAAATTAGCTTGTTGAATATTTCAAGGGTAATGGCGTATTCAGGTCAGCACAATTCTGGTCACTGTGATTTTTTTAGAGTTATTTTTAAATTCTAGGAAAATTGCAGCTAAACTTTCAAGGGATTCGGCCGACTTCCCTGTCAAGAAAGTTTACGGTGTTAAGGACTTTTTAGCTTAAGGGAAAAAACCCAAGAAATTTCAGGGAGGAAGCTTGATCAGATGTATAAAGTTTTTTTTTCCATTTCTCATAATGCAAGATCAAGCCATGAAACTGAACATTGGGAGGTTCTGGACCAATTACAGAAATGTCTTGGCACACAATGCACAATTAAAGGGTGGAATTTAGCAAAACTAAGATGTAGTGATAACTAATCATTTGGACAGCTTTAAAAGATCATTAAACAAATTCCTGAGTGCAACCCATTGCTTAGGGCAGGTGTTAGAATATGTTAGCCATATATAACAGCTTTCACTAATTAACCATGTCGCAGTATATTAATGCCACTATATTGTCACTAGACTATCATGCTAATACCTTTCATTATAAAATGCCATGGTCTAGTAACAATAATTAGCTTTACTTCAGTGAATGGACATGTATGAAACCCAACAGAGTTGGCCTGAGTTGGGTGGCATCAAAATCAAATAAAGTGAATAAACCAACCAACCAACCAACAGGCAAAAAGGTTTGCTCAGGAAGATTTCAGCTTATGTAGGACTTGGAGGAAGATGACTTTAAAGAAGACACAAGCCATGATTGCCAAAACAAGCAGAACTTGTTGGATGAGGACTGTCTGGTAAAAAAGTACCAAGAGGTGTGAGAAAGGTGCCAAGATAGGACTGGTAAAACTTTAGTCATAATTTGTTGGAATAACAATCGTATCTGAACAGTAATCCTTGGGAGCCATCACATAAAACACGGGTTCAATGTAGACATCCTACCTTGATTCTTCTGGAACGCAACCCTTACCTAATTGGGCCTACTAAACTTTGAGCTGGACTGATATGCATGGATGTGTAGATAAGTAAATTCTTAGCTTAGGAAGTGAACAGTAAATGTTGTAAGCCTGGATTTGTTTCTATGTGTCTGGATTCCTGGATAAAACACAGTGTAGTATTGGAGGTACTTTCTGGCCATTAGTGTGAATGGGAGTAAAACCCAAACATTCCCAACACATCATTGTCCAGCCTCTGCTGCTTGAACACAACAACATAGGGGATTCTTCTCCTCATTCAGTCACTGCTTCTGTTGTTGAAATACTGTTGTCCGTAGGAACTTTTTCTAACAGTCAGAATCTGCTTTCCTGTAACACCATTATATCATGTCCTATCCTCTTGGATGATAGAAAACAAGTCATTGATATTCTTCCATGTCATATCTCTTCAATTGCTTAATGCAGGGCATCCTGTATCTCTCCACCCACCTCTACTGTTCCCTTCCCAGATCCAGTTCCTACAATTCTGATTCACAGAACTTCTAATTGCCCTTTCTGCCCAGTTCTGAATCTGTCTAGTTTGGTTGAAACTATGGGGCCTAGATTTTTCCCATGTTGACTGGCCACCATGAGAACAGAGATGTTCTTTTGATTTGACCAGCTTGGCTTTTTGATGTTCCTTTGTTTCAAAGACCAAAGAGGTTGTGCTTTTTGACATACCTGATTTTCTCTTTCTTCAGTCTTAAAAGATACTCTCTCCTTTGGGCTCAGTTGCTAGGTTTTAGTACGTTTGCAGTCTCAGGAAGACAATGTGGATTCAAGCTGAGCTTACCAAGGGTATCAGTATCCAGAAAGTCTATCTGCTGGTTAGAACCCCTCCTTCCCCCACCCTCGTGGTTCTTCTGTTAGGGCTCTCAAAAGCTGTTTATCTTGCTACCTTTGTTTATCTTGTTACCTTTGCTACCTTGTTACTTTTGTTTATCTTGATACCTCTGTTATCTTTGTTTATCTTGTTACCCTTAACAAAATTGCAAATTGCACAGATGTTGTTTTGCCCCATTTGGCCCCTAGTAGGGAAACATCTGGGCCTGGAATTAACAGGTTTTCTGAGTCAGTCTTCAGACAAAGGCAGAAGAGAAATGAGGAATTTCCCCCACAATCTCTTTTCACTTTCTTCTTGATCAAAAACCCTTCCTCCTTCAGACTCAGCAAAGGGCAATGTGGGATGATTCATCAGAACCCTTTATGTAAATCACATGTCCGCGTTAAAATGACTGTTGAAACACAACTCTTTGTATTAAAACCTACCTTGGCTATTAACCATACAGGACAAAAAGATTTTGTATTCCTAGGAAAAAGAGGTCCACCAGGATGGGAATGTGTGAAAACAATGTAGAGTATTATTCTTTTCTGTCTTCTGGTTTATGCCAAAAAGAATCCCATTTTAGAGATTGGCGCGGAAAAGGTATGTCTTGTTGAGAGCTCCATTCCCTTAGAGATAATCTATCAGGCGAGTCCAAAATCATTTCCTCACTAAAGATTTGCAACCCTCTGGCGGACATTGTCCCAAAATAACGATAACAATGACAAGGTTTACAAAGCCACAACCAAGGCCTGGGTGATGGTGCAAGCTGCTATAAATCACTAGTGAGGAAATACTTTAGACTCTTTCAGGCTTACAGTCAAAAAAAAGACAAGGCACGAAAAGAAGGAGGGAAAAGAGCAAATTAGACACAATTCATAAAGTTACCATTTTTCTAATGATCAGGTTGGAAGAAAGGTAAATGGTTGAAGCAACAGGGTCCATAATAAATCACCATTACTTTAATACACAAATACTGCAACTACGTTGGTGCACCCCACGTCTGACCCAAGCTCATAAGTCATGGTTTCGTGTGATGATGTCACTGTTTCCCCTCTTGTCCTTCTGGGTCTGATGTGACAAGTATCACTAGATAACAGTTGAGGAACAGGGAACCTCAGACAAAACTTGCAAGGGTCCTGGATGAAGTTAGTTATCTGGATCCTTTTCAGTCAGAGCTTAAATGTGGGTATGGGAAAGGAAGGGCATTAATCACTTGAATGGATGACCTTTGTCAGGACTGGAATGGGGAGATTGCAGCCCTCCTGGTCCAGTGAACTTCTCAGCAACATTTGGTACCATCAACCAACTCTTCCTCTTGCTCTACAGGGGTTTTGCTCCTTCCAGAACGGGTAGTTCCAGTTAGTAGTCTTGGATGTGAGTAGTAGAGTCCAGTGAGGCCCTCATCCTACATCTGGAGCCTGTGAAGGATCAGATGGGACAACATAAGCTTAAACGTAATCCCATATTTTTATTGGGCATAACTGTTGCATATTTTATAAAATATATGTTTATGAGGATTTTATGGATTTTTGGAGTGATGAGATTTTGATCTGGGCATCTGGGTGTGTTGAACTCTCCAGAGTAATTGGATTGAAGCAATATACAAATCCTGAAAATAAATAAGGTAAGATATGCTGAGAATACGTGATTGATCCATGACAATCTAGATCTCTTGACATCCATTAGCCTGCAATCATCAGGATACCATGCTAGTTGTTCTTCCTTCTAAAAAAGAAAAACTTATCCCCAACTGCTTTTTCAAACACTCAATTGATTGAAATGTGTAGACATTTAAAATAGCTAGTTGCTGACCATGATGGCACTTATTTACAGTCTGGTTTTCCTTTGGTTCACTAGAACCAGTTGTTTGCATTCTTTTGATCGTTACTGTAAATAGTTTAAAGAAATCAGTCAAAACCTCAGAGAAAACTCAAAATATGAATGAAAAAAAAGAATCCCCCTCTTCTTTTCTAGGGTTGCCGGTAAATATCTTTTTTCTTCCCCCTCTTGTCCCATAATCAGGACAAGAAAACCTACCCCACCCCAAGCTTCTTTCCCTGAATAATGAATGGTTACAACTACTTGGTACTATTTCCCCAGATAATAAGCAGGAAAGTGTAGGTGGCTTTTGAGAGCTGATGTTTCTGACTACTCAGATGGGAGAGTCCCTAGAAAAATTTGAGGGGCCC